AATACAATTCAGTTTTTTATATATATTTAAATGGGGGCTTCACTGGCTCGACAGGTAAAGTTTTCAATTGTTCAATACAGTTCAGTTTTTTCTATATATTTAAAAGCGGGATTCACTGGCTCGACAGCTTAAGTTTTCAATTGTTCAATACATTTCAGTTTTATATATATTTATATGCGGGCTTCACTGGCTCGACAGGTTAAGTTTTCAGTTGTTCATTACAACTCAGTTTTTTATATATATTTAAATGCGCGCTTCACTGGCTCGACAAGTTAAGTTTTCAATTGTTCAATACAGTTCAGTTTTTTATATATATATATATTTAATTGCGGGCTTCGCTGGCTCGACAGGTTAACTTTTCAATTGTTCAATACAATTCAGTTTTTTATATATATTTAAATGGGGGCTTCACTGGCTCGACAGGTAAAGTTTTCAATTGTTCAATACAGTTCAGTTTTTTCTATATATTTAAAAGCGGGATTCACTGGCTCGACAGCTTAAGTTTTCAATTGTTCAATACATTTCAGTTTTATATATATTTATATGCGGGCTTCACTGGCTCGACAGGTTAAGTTTTCAGTTGTTCATTACAATTCAGTTTTTTATATATATTTAAATGCGGGCTTCACTGGCTCGACAGGTTAAGTTTTCAATTGTTCAATACAATTCAGTTTTGTATATATTTTTAAATGCGGGCTTTACTGGCTCGACAGGTTAAGTTTTCAATTGTTCAATACATTTCAGTTTTATATATATTTATATGCGGGCTTCACTGGCTCGACAGGTTAAGTTTTCAGTTGTTCATTACAACTCAGTTTTTTATATATATTTAAATGCGCGCTTCACTGGCTCGACAAGTTAAGTTTTCAATTGTTCAATACAGTTCAGTTTTTTAAATATATATTTAATTGCGGGCTTCGCTGGCTCGACAGGTTAACTTTTCAATTGTTCAATACAATTCAGTTTTTTTATATATATTTAAATGGGGGCTTCACTGGCTCGACAGGTAAAGTTTTCAATTGTCCAATACAGTTCAGTTTTTTCTATATATTCAAATGCGGGATTCACTGGCTCGACAGCTTAAGTTTTCAATTGTTCAATACATTTCAGTTTTATATATATTTATATGCGGGCTTCACTGGCTCGACAGGTTAAGTTTTCAGTTGTTCATTACAACTCAGTTTTTTATATATATTTAAATGCGGGCTTCACTGGCTCGACAGGTTAAGTTTTCAATTGTTCAATACAGTTCAGTTTTTTATATATATATATATTTAATTGCGGGCTTCGCTGGCTCGACAGGTTAACTTTTCAATTGTTCAATACGATTCAGTTTTTTATATATATTTAAATGGGGGCTTCACTGGCTCGACAGGTTAAGTTTTCAATTGTTCAATACAGTTCAGTTTTTTCTATATATTTAAATGCGGGATTCACTGGCTCGACAGCTTAAGTTTTCAATTGTTCAATACATTTCAGTTTTATATATATTTATATGCGGGCTTCACTGGCTCGACAGGTTAAGTTTTCAGTTGTTCATTACAACTCAGTTTTTTATATATATTTAAATGCGCGCTTCACTGGCTCGACAAGTTAAGTTTTCAATTGTTCAATACAGTTCAGTTTTTTATATATATATATTTAATTGCGGGCTTCGCTGGCTCGACAGGTTAACTTTTCAATTGTTCAATACAATTCAGTTTTTTATATATATTTAAATGGGGGCTTCACTGGCTCGACAGGTAAAGTTTTCAATTGTTCAATACAGTTCAGTTTTTTCTATATATTTAAAAGCGGGATTCACTGGCTCGACAGCTTAAGTTTTCAATTGTTCAATACATTTCAGTTTTATATATATTTATATGCGGGCTTCACTGGCTCGACAGGTTAAGTTTTCAGTTGTTCATTACAACTCAGTTTTTTATATATATTTAAATGCGGGCTTCACTGGCTCGACAGGTTAAGTTTTCAATTGTTCAATACAGTTCAGTTTTTTATATATATATTTAATTGCGGGCTTCGCTGGCTCGACAGGTTAACTTTTCAATTGTTCAATACGATTCAGTTTTTTATATATATTTAAATGGGGGCTTCACTGGTTCGACAGGTTAAGTTTTCAATTGTTCAATACAGTTCAGTTTTTTCTATACATTTAAATGCGGGATTCACTGGCTCGACAGCTTAAGTTTTCAATTGTTCAATACAATTCAGTTTCTTATATATATATTTAAATGCGGTCTTCACTAGCTCGACAGGTTAAGTTTTCAATTGTTCAATACAATTCAGTTTTTTTATATATTTAAATGCGGGCTTCACTGGCTCGACAGGTTAAGTTTTCAATTGTTCAATACAATTCAGTTTTTTATATATATTTCAATGCGGGCTTCACTGGCTCGAGACGTTAAGTTTTCAATTGTTCAATACAATTCAGTTTTTTATATATATTTAAATGCGGGCTTCACTGGCTCGACAGGTTAAGTTTTCAATTGTTCGATACAATTCAGTTTATTATAAATATTTAAATGCGGTCTTCACTAGCTCGACAGGTTAAGTTTTCAATTGTTCAATACAATTCAGTTTTTTTATATATTCAAATGCGGGCTTCACTGGCTCGACAGGTTAAGTTTTCAATTGTTCAATACAATTCTATTTTTCTATATATTTTGTTCAATGATATTTTTTCAATTGTCAATTGTCTGCTGTCTATTTTTAAGTGGCAGAACGAAGTGAAAGCACATTCGGATTTTGCTTTTTTTCCTGTTCAAGAAAAAGTCACAAAGTTTGGTCAAGCTCCATTCTGATTCTTGTTGCTTGAAATCTGTTTCCTTTCAGAAACAAAATTCAAAAAAAATTGACCCAAAGAAAAGGTAATCACTCTCTCCATTTTTAAAAATCCAAATGTCGATGAAATAAACTTGCATAACAATGATTTTAATGTTGAGTTTGAATTTTACTTTTAAGGTTTCGCAGCGAAGAAGAAAAACTAATTTTCACCCAATTTGCTAAATTGAAATTTAGTTTGAAGGTTTTGCATCGCAGAAGACAAATTGTTTTTTCACCCGGTTCTTATCCCAGGTTCAATCTGAAAGGATTTGTAAAATAAAAGAGCTACAATGTGACGTATTTTAGAAAGTGTAATATTTTAAGCTTCCATGAGCTCATTGACACTTTTCCATCTTTCTGTTGGCTATGTATTAGCGTTCTTATATGTGTGATGCGGTTTAGCTTTTAGGAAATTGTTGAATGAAAACCTTTCATTTAGTTTAGGTATTTTTCACACTGAAATGTTTTTTTTCGAGTTCGTCTTTTCAAACATTTTCTCGCAAAAACAATTAAACTCCCAAAAAAAACTTCTGTACAATTGAATGCTTTGTTACGTCCAAGTTTTTGTTAAATGGTAGGCAAACTATGCGCTCCTATAAAAAATGCAACTGCTGAAAAATTGCGAAACAAGTAGTTTCAGAAGGATTTTACCAATAGTCTTTGTCCAAGTTTTTTTTTCTACTCGTTGCTTAAACAGACGCATTCTTTTTTTCTAGTTCTTCAGATTGCAAAAATTTAGATGGCTAGAACTTTCAAACAATTGCGTAATACGTTTGAACTTTGTTTTTACTCAAAGATTTTGATTTGTATATAGTAAAAATGACTTTTTTTCGCTATCAACTAAAAATTTTTTCTCAAAAAAAACTTTTGGAAAGTTTTACTTTTCTAAAAATTTGTTGGGTTGTATGAGAGATTTTTTATATAAATAACTCAGTAGTTTCAGCGTAATTCTTAATTGACTAAAAAAACCAAAATGACCTAATTTTAAGTGTAAAATTTTGCTCAAAATTTCGCGAAAAACTAAACCATAATAATTCTGGTTAAGTTCTAAGCAAATTTTGTTCTCTTTCTTTTTTGTCTGATCCTAACTGAATCTTAGAAAAAGACGTTTCAAGTTTTCAATATTGTTCGTTGTGTCCTTTTAATTTACATCAGCACTGTATTTTCTTTCAATTGTGCTTCAGATTCAGCCTGACTAGTATTGTAAAAATTGGCATGAAGTTTTTCATTAGACTTAAATTAGGTAGGCTGTTGATTTAAAAAAATTGTCGGGTTTTTTCATTTTTGACAAGGATACATTTATATATCTAAGTTATTTTGTGCTTTTCATGACGCAAAGATAATTGCAAACAAATAAAATAATTCCTATCATTCTTGAAAAGAAATCAAAACGGAACATCAAAAACGTAAAAACTTAAACGCGATATGCTCAGCAACCGGCATTTTTTGTATTTTTATACACTGAGATAGGTTTTTTATGCACGGTGCTGGTTAAATTTATCCGGACAAAACTAACAAAACTTGAATTATCAATCGCAATTTTCTCAATTTGGGTTAAAATAAAAACAAAAAGTAAAGAGATCAATAGATGCTTAGATTTTCATCAGAATTACAATGATGCAATTGTTTCTCCAAAACTCTCAACGAAAAATTTACCCCAAAAATGGGTCGTTTTGGTTTTTTTTTCAATTAATCAAGAATTACGCTGAAACTTCTTTGTTAATTGATGATCAATATATATCACACGAAGCCTTGTACACAGCCGAACAAAGTTCCAGAAAAATTAAATTTCAAAAGAACCTGTATAAGAGAAAATGTTTTTGCTTGACTGTCAAGAGATGTAATTTTATTATATAAAACCCAAAATCTTTGCTTAAAAACAAATTTTGAACAACTAACTTTGATTTTTGGAGCTTTAACTTTTTTGGAACTTTGTTGGTCAGTGTAGGAGATTTCTTGTGATTTATTTTCATCATCAATTAACACAGAAGTTTCAGCGTAATTCTTGGATAGTTGAAAAAAGTCAAAATGACCCATTTTTGAGGTAAAATTTTTGTTCAAAACTTTAATTCTAATGAAATTCTAAGCAACTTTTGTTCTTTTTACTTTTCGTCTTATCTTAACCCAATTTGAGACAAACGTGTTTGAACAGTCAAGTTTGTTCATTTTGTCCGGATAGTCTAAATCAGCATAGTAGTTTCTTCGCAGCTAGTTTTTATTCTATCCCATAAGCGTATCAAAGTCGACAAAAATTGAGTTATTCCATTTTTTTTATTTTGCAAACTGAATTGTGATGTGAACACTCTTTGTTTCCTCCTCAGCAACAACCTATTGTTCCATCAGGTATTTGTTTTTGTTATTAAATTCGCAGCCAATCGATTCAATTTTTTCCAAAATATATTCTCCGCCACCTAATTTTACTATTTCCAATAACGCATGATGATATTTTTGTATTTATATCTTATGGGTCTAAACTGCCAATACCAGGGTGGTTGAAACTGACCATAAATAATCACTGTTTTCCAGTGTGGAAGAAGAAAATAAGGACGAAGAATATGAACTGATGGGCGAAAATAAATGCGAGGAAAAGGAGGGCGTAATCCTCGAGCACGACATCGTCCATCTCGTAGCCAATGAGCACTTGGGTTCCATTCGGCTCTCGGCTGAAGTGGTTGAACATGAGACTCTCGTAACCATACTTGGTGTATCCGATCTTGTTGAATATCTGGAAGAAGAGGGGCATTTCACTGTAGGGAACCAGGAAGCCCTGAGACAGCGACATCAACCCATTGTAGTTGGCACATACTACAATGGCCACTACGTAATCAGTTGTAATAGCACTCACTATGTTTATAACTGACTCGGCGATTATTAGATCCAGAAAGATGATGCACAAGTACCATTTGTACCCGTTAAGCCCCACCATTAGATACGTTATACCTGTAGCTTCAACCGCGAACACCCCTATTGGAGGAATGACGCTAATGAAGTTTCCGATCACAAAGGGGAGAACGTCTATCAACCCGTTTGACCTTTCGCGCACAAATACAGGTCGTTGGGTGATGAAATAGGGCAGAGCGCCGAAGGACAGAAAAATAAAGAAAGTCTGAACAAAGAAGAGTAATGCTGCAATTGAGTCATCGGCAGTTGGCGCGTCTTCGTCAAAGTCGAAAAACAGACCTCCAATCGTGACCGAAACCAGAAAGTACATAATAACCCGGACCCAGATAATTGCTGGATTTAGCAGTGAATTGATTGTTAGGCGTTTCGCCAGGTAGTAACACTGGGCGAACCAGTTTGCTTTGTACTTAATGAACCCCTTAGTAGGGTTGCCGCTCTGGTTTTCCTTCGCTTTCTGGACGAGTCGTTTGACGTCATCGTTCTTGGAGCTCAACTCGTACGCTTCAGCCAGTGCATTTATGTCTCCGTGGCCGTCGAAGTCGGTGTTGACGATTGTGAGGAAGTAGTCTGCGGGGTTGGAGTAGGCCGGACACTGGAAGCCTTGCTGGGTGAAGAAGTCGATGGACTCGGAGGCCTTGCCGTAGTAGATGGTCTTTCCGGCTGTGAGAAGCAGAAGGGAGTCGAACATGGCGAACACTTCAGAGGAGGGCTGGTGTATGCTGTAGATAACTGTCTTGTCTGCAAAACCAAATTGATCATCCAAGTTGACATTCAAAATGGAAAACAAAAATTGAGAAAACTGATTGAAAAATTAATAGTTCAGTTTATTTCAATCACGTACGTTAACGACTAGACCTTACCACTGAATCAAGTTCTCAATTACCAAAAAAATTGTGTGGCTTTGAATGTATAAAAATACCCGGACATAAAAATCACGGCCTTGAGTCGCAAAAAAAACGAGCTGCGCTCAACAAAATAGCTCAATGTGGGGAAATAAGAAAAATGGACTATGCTTAGACAGGCTCCATAGCCTTTCATAGATCCTTTGCGAATCGCGGAAACGACAATTATTTTTATTTTTGTTCACTGAGCCGCAATGACTTTAAAAAAGTAGGTTCTTGCGTGAAAGTCTTGGAATTTTTGTTTCTGTATGACAAGCTTGTCAGTCTTTGTGCTTTAAGTGTTATCAGAAGTATATTTTTGACCAAGTTTGAAATAAGTTTAGTTTTTTTTAATTTTGTATATCAGAGCATCTTGAGTCCAAAACATGAAATAACAAGGTTTCAATCAAAAACCCTGAGGCCTTTGGTAAAGCATAGTGGTAAGGCGTTAACTATGAGAACGTCAGATCGAGTGTTCGATCCCCTGCCATGGAAATGATAGTGTATGAGGAGGACGAGCTCTCACTTGACCTCTAGCTTCAGATCTAACACAACTGGACCAGTTTCGGTTGCAATAGTTGTACCAAGCAACAGCTGACAGTTCTATACGCAAAAAAAAACGACTTTAAGCCGCAAAAAAAGCTTCGCTCAACTTCAACTCACTCTAGATTGTGAGCAAATGAGAAAAACAGACTTTTCTTAGACAGGCTGGATAGCCTTTGATAGAGCCTTCGCTTATCGCAGAGAACACATTCAATATTAAGTTTGCAAGTATGCTTACGTTGGCTAGCCAGATCCTTGATAGCTTGCATGACGTTGATAGTAGCCGAGCTATCCAGTCCACTAGTAGGCTCATCCAGCATAATAATGCAGGGGTCCGTAATCAAGGACAGCGCCATGCTCAACCGCTTCGCCTGTCCCCCAGAAATGCCCTTGAACAACATGCCCCCCACTCGGGTGTCTTCACACGACCGAAGCCCCATGATGTCTATGATCTCGTCCACTCGCTCTCGTTTCTCACTCTTCGGAACCGAACTAGGAAGCGCCAAGTCTGCTGTGAACTCGATTGTTTCTCGCACTGTGAACACGTCCATCAGTGCGTTTTCCTGGGCCACGTACGAGGCTTTGAAGCGGAAGTCCTGAAAATTAGCATTGCTATCAGATTTTGAAATATGTCGATTAAAACATCTATGCTCTAATCTAAAACCAGTTGCAGAAAATTCTTTTCCTTTTTGAAAAGAAGAGGTTTCAAAATTTCAATTATCGACGCTTTGCACACAAGCTTGTTACCTTAGTTCTGGGCGACCCATCGACTAAAATCTCTCCTTCAATCACCCCTGAGGACACTCGGTCGGCTAACAAGTTCATCAGAGTCGTCTTCCCACACCCCGAGGGGCCCATAATGGCCAACATGCCCCCTGGTTCCACGTGGCCATTTAGCCCGTCCAGAAGGGTCTTGTAGCCCCCCTTTGCCTTCACTTTGTAGGTGAGGTTGAGCCATGACAGAGAGAACTTCCAGCCGCCGCTGCTGGTGCGTGCCTTCCGTAGAGCACCGCCGCCAGGTAGGGATTGGTCAGGGTTCTTGAAAGTCTTGTAGTCAGTCATCGAAAAGGTTAAGAAAAGGAACTCTTCTAAATCGTTTTTGTTTCAGTTGAAAACGAAACTATTTAAATTAAAATTTATGACTGTCGTTTGTATTAAAATAACATTGGGGTATTCTTGGTTACAAGGAGTTACAAGACGAGGATGAGTTTCCACTGGCGACTTCTTCTGAACCCAATTTTGTCTAATTTCGTGTTCTGAATGTTTTTATATATGTTAAGGTTCGACAAAAAAAACTATCTAAACGGGAAATAATTTGGCGTTCAATGTTTGCCGAAAAGTCTCCGATTTTCCATCCACTGATTTCGGAAGCATATGTTGAACTGCTTCACGCGTTTGTGCTTCTTAGTTGGTCTTTCTAACATGTGTTACTTGTTTATTAACGTATCTTGTCTTTCTAAAAAGAGAATTCTGTATTTATTTCGTCAATACTTTTGCAAATCACTCAAGAGGATCGAAATAAAATTTTAGGCCACTCAATGTATTTTTTTTCAAAGCTCAATGGTATTCTCAAATTTGCATGTTCCTTGTGAACCTACGAAACTTCCTAAAACAGCTGTACTACATTTCATGAAACAGCAAGGGTTTGTTGTGCTGGCGAATATATTTTCACCAGAAATCTGGCGCTTCACGGATTCATCTGTGAAAGGTTGTGATTAGAGTATGCGCAGGTTGTGGTGAATTCAGTGTCGGAGGAGGAGGAGGCGCTCTTTTATTACTAATCAAATGATACCCATTCCTGAGAAGATTGAATTTTATTTGGATACGTTGACATTTTGGCGCAATTCTAGCGCTATCCAATTTAGGAAGATGAAGTTTTCAAAAAGTTCAGATTTTTTTCTAGAGCTTGAGAGAGCTCTCAAAACCAACATGGTAAAAGCAGAACTAAAAAAAGTCGACAGGTAGTTCAACTCTTGAATAAACGAGAGAAAAATTACAGTACTCCTCGGCCGAATGGCTCCACCAAATTCAAAAATGTATGCAAGTTTTTAACTTCTGTCATTTTTTCCTTTTGAGAGAGAGAGAGAGGGGACACTTTATTGTTTCAATATACTTATGCAGTTGCAGAACTGATTGTATAAGAATCTAGTGTACAATATTACGCAATGGTTATATAACATAACAAGAAAAAACATGTTGCCTTGTAGCAATAATTTTTATTTCATATAAAAGCACCAGAGAGTGCAAGGATTTTTATATGGTTACACTTGCACAAGTAAGGGTCTTGTAATCGGGAATTTGACTTTTTTCCAGTTAACAACTTTTCCTACAATTTTTTAACTGGCTTTAATTTTGATTCTTAACTGTTTGACGTTTACTTCGCCCTTGGCCTAGAGGTAACGCCGTGGCCTTTATAATCTAAGGGTCGGTGGGCTTTTTCAGTGTGTATGCAATTGAAAAAAAAATTCCGGTAAAAGCTGATTTGACAAACTTTCGTTCATCTGCTCAAGTTTTATCGGCTTAGTCGCTGCATCACGGATTTTTTGTTTCATTGTAGTTTCAGGTGGGACTTGAAATTTTTAAAGTTTTTTATAAAATACATTTTTTGCGACTCAACTGGTGTCTGCTAAAAGTTTGTTCTCTTTGTTTTAGCTTCGTAAGTTTTGTTCCGTTGATTCGTATGTTTTGCTTGGCATGTTTTCTCAGAAAACCTAGTTGATGAAATAGTTATGATAAAAATGTATGAGGCTGGGGTTTTTTATTATATATATAGACCTTTTGGAAAACATTTTTTTTTGCAGAAAATTTAGTTTCGAAAAACGACTATCAGTGGAAAATCTCTGGGCGCCTGCATTCTCCCCTAGTCTTTTTAAACTTTACCCCTCTGTCTACTGTCTTCAAAAATGTCTGTGAAGGAAAGTGTTCCCCAAATTTTAAATTTTTTTCGATTTTTATAAAACTGTCTTCTCAAATCTAAGCATGTGCGTTTAATGGAGATAACAAGTAGTAGGAAGATCCGCTACATGAGCGGCTGCTTGAAAATTTCTGACACAAAGCGTTATCACCCTCGGAAAGGTCAAATTTTTTGACCATTTCTTGAAAACTATTCATTCATATTTTAGGTTTTGCGTTCAAGCCAAAGAACATGTTGTGAAAGTTTTTTTTGCATATGAAAAATTATGGCCCTCGGAAAAGGCAAAAATTTGATTTGTTGATCGTTTTTCGAAGTTTTTGCTTTTTATCGAGAACTGCCTTCCAAAATCTGTGTTTCTTCGCTCAATCGAAATTATAGGCTGCGTTAATTGTTTCTCCTTAAGCAGCTCTGCCCAAAAAATTTTCACTTAGAACTATGATTCTCTGAAAAGTCAAACTTTTGATTTGTTGACTGTTTTTTGAAACTCAGGTTAAGTTATCAATCGAAAAACCGGGTTTTGAAATTTATTTTCTGCCAAAGTGGCCTCATACTTTTGCAGAAAAAAAACTGCGGTTTTCGAAAAGCGAAGATTTTGATTTTTTGACCGTTTTGTAGGAGCCATGAGATTAAGGATTCAATCGAAAGAGCCGGTTGCGAAAAACTTTTCTACAAAAACTTTTCAAAAAGTATTAAACACATGCGTCAAATTGTAGCTGGCCCTTAGCTATATTTTATCGAGACAAACGAAAATTTTGTTTCACTAAATTTTTATGCGTTTTTCAATTATATGCAGTACAACACAAACCTAAAAAAAAACAAAAAAAGTCGTATAATCATAATGTTTTTCTAAGTTCTGGCATGCAGTGCCCCTTTTATTCCATAAAATTTTCAAGTCAATGAGAGTTTTCGTTCAAATTTTTAAAAAGGTTGATTTTGAAATTTTTTCTTGCCGTTTCATTTGCTTTAGAGGTGGAATATCACTTCTTTCAATTCGTTTGAAGTAAATGTTGGATTTTTTCTCGCGTTTTTTTCAGGGAAAAACGTACGGTCCAAATTGAAGGTCGCACTCAGCCATTTTCTCTATTCCAAGTAGAATTTCAGTCCTCACAGACGTTAGTTGCTTGCAAATTTTTTGGGCTGTTCTTACGTTTCACTTAGTCGAACATTGAGTCGGTTCATGGATAAATTACACATACCGCAGCTGCACAAAAATTGTTCCCGGATAGTGTTTTCGCGGAGAAAAATTACTTGGAACATTGTAGAGAAATTTTCTGGTAAACCGTAACGGGACTAACCACTTGAATTTTTTTGTAAATTGTTTTAGTAGAATAGAAATCACATTCTTTACGAATTGTTCGATTCCCAAAAGTATTTTTGACAGCAGCAATAAATCCAGTATCAAAATCTGACATGATAATTTTTGGCGAATTTTTTTTAAAAGAATTTCATGAACATTTTGGGTAACAGTATGTAGTCATAATTCCATCCAGATTTTCCCATCTAAAAGTCCCATCAGAAAGTAAAATTTTGTTTTATTGGAGATAATTCAGAGAACGTGCGGCTGCAAAAATTGCATAACTTGGTAAAACGCTGGTATCAATTACAAAAAGTTGACTATCCAAAACTTTTGCCAAAAAACCGTCAATTTTCACTATGTTTTTTGCCTAATCACAATCAATTGTTCGGTTTCCTTATGAGCGATAACCTAATTTGATGATATCCTAGTAGAATGAAACCCTTAAAATTAGAATTTTTTAACAAATCGTTGATTATTTCTTGATTTGATTCGTCGGTTTCTCTCAATTCAGTCAAAAACTTTCTGTCGAAATTTTTCTTCCTGCAAGTCTTCAAGTTTTGCAAAATTGTGATATTTCGACATTTGTAGGATGGTTCTACCAATAACATGGGTTTTTTGGTTGTACTATTCTTCTCGAATCTGCAAGCATCAGCAATTAAGTTAGTCTCGTTTTTTTGTTTTTGGTCAAACAATGCTGAATTTGCACATATCAGTTTATATTGTTAAAACTGTATAATATGTCAAAAAGCAATTTTTTGATTCAGTTCATTCAACCTTTTACGATTTCATTAGATTTTTTCTTTATTGGGCTAAAAAAAATTGGCCTAATTTCATTGGCTAAACGACCTGATTTTGAGTCGTTTGATGAGAAAAAGAAGATGGTTCTGTCTCATTTTCTGTCGGTTAGGTTACCATGCTGTTTGAGCAATGAATCGCAATCGATGCGAAGCTTGACCTATGTGTGGAAAAAATAGTTTCGCGTTATTTATCTTAAGCAGAATGTGGTTCTCGCATCCGAAAATTTTCATTTTTGTTCAGACCTTCTTACAAAGTGAAGGAAAAGAACTATTGCGTAGGATGGGTTTTTTGAAACGTTTCGAATACTCTAAAGAAACTCATTGGGCGTCAAGTATGCTATCATTTCAAAGCCATATTAGCCGTGATCCAGATTCGATCTTTGTTTAAAATATATATAGGTCTTTGTCGAAAAAAATAGTCCGAAGTTTTTAATTTTTCAGGTTTGCTTATGAATTTGGATGGCAAATTATTTAATTTTTTCTTAATTTTTTTATGCAGTTTTAGCTATAACTAGTTCTCATTCTGTATTTTTCTACTTCATTCAATTGCCCCTATTTTGTAATAAAAGAAAAAACAAGAAGTTGAGAAAATTTTCTTTTTTTAATTTTTCACGTTATTCACGGAGATCTATCTATTCAGAGCTACCTGCATAGCAGCCAGTTATCCGTAAATTTATTAGATATTTTCAATTTGTTTCGGTTCAGTTTTTTATGTAATCCTTTGACATTAAGATTCCATGCCCAAATTTTTTGAAAGGGCTTTCTTCGCTAACGTATCAATTTTGAAAATGATATGCATATAACTTTAAAATTTTGATATCCCGAGCTAAATATTGAACAGATATTTCTCTTGCGATTATCCTTTTGCAAAAGCTTGGAAGCTCAAAAAAGGCCAATATGCAAATATGGAATAACTAACGCGCGCTTCTTACAAGTTTTGTTAGAACGCGATAAGCGACGTAGGTGTCAATAAAGGTAACAAAAACTTTTCTAAAACAAAAAGATGAACTAATTCGCCGAAGTATTGCGTAATGAGACTTAAGAAAATCACGGTTTACTTAGAACTGCTTGCTGGTACAAATAGTCGGAAACCGTTTAAAATTAACAAAAACATTTTTTGATAAACTTTTAATTTACTTTAAACGGCAATGAAAACTTTCAAGATTTCATCCTGATACAATCAGGTGTTTGGCTTTTATGAGAAAATTTTTTAATCAAAAACCAAATTTTGCAATGAAGCACCATAAAATACTGCTGCCAGATCTAAAATATAAAAAATAGACAGCTTAAATTTGATCATTCTTTCATACGTAATGAAAAAGTATTAAAAAACTATGAGAACTTTCCATGCTTTGCGAAAAAGTCGAAATTCAAGAAACTTAATTTGATGAAAACA